ACGGCTGGCACTGCGACTGGAAAAGCAAAAGGCAGCTGCAGGGAACAGCCTAGTTTTCAGAGGAAGGGCTGCAACCTGTGTCTATGCATTGTGGTTGTCTCTGTCATCAAGGAAGCCCAGAGAGCTTTATAAAGACCTGCAAAGACAAACTGCCACCTCCATTGATCACTGCTGCTTTTTTACACCCTTTGGGGCTTCTAAATCTCCTTTGAGGACCACGAGGGTGCTGAGGCGCTGGCACAGGGTGCCCAGAGAAGCTGTGGCTGCCCCATCCCTGGCAGTGTTCAAGGCCAGGTTGGACACAGGGGCTTGGAGCAAGCTGCTCCAGTGGAAGGGGTCCCTGCCCGTGGCAGGGGGCTGGAGCTGGAGGAGCTTTAAGCTCCCTTCCAACCCAAACCAGTCTGTGATTCTGTGATATGATTCTATGACTGCCAAAGTGGGTGCACTCTGCCGGTCCCCAGGTAGACCCCCCAGTGTGGTGGATGGAACAGATACCACTGCAGGGACATGATGGGACAGGACACGAGGCTTCCTCCCCAGGAGTGCTCTGGCCACCCATGCCCTCCTGGCCTAGCATTGCTTCTGCCCAGCCAGAAACCACCTTGTAGCTTAAATGGAAGAGCTCCAAGTGCCTCCTGTCTCCAGCAGAGCTCTGTGCTGCTGCTCCCCATGCATGTGGCCTTATCACAGCTCTAATTGGCATCAGCGCCTGTAATCTCAGCCTCCAGCTGTTTGCTGGGTCTAGGAAGAGGAGAAAGCACTTCAGAGGATTAGTTTTAATTATAAGAATGCCAGGGACTGTAGCCAGGCTCTGTGTGTGGCCAGTCTCAGTGTCCAGGCTCTGTGGCCATGTCCAGGCTCTGTGTTCAGTCTCTGTATCCAGGCTCTGTGGCCATGTCCAGGCTCTGTGTTCAGGCTCTGTGCTCAGGCTCTGTCTGTGGCCAGGCTCTATGTATGTCCAGGTAATGTGTGCGTCCAGGGTCTGTGTTCAGGCTCTGTGTGTGTCCAGTCTCAGTGTCCAGGCTCTGTGTTCAGTCTCTGTATCCAGGCTCTGTGTCCATGTCCAGGCTCTGTGCCCAGGCTGACAGGCTCACCCAGCTGCTCCAGGTATGCAGTGCCAGCAATGGAACAGCAGCCCCTGACAGCTACACAACTGCTGGGCTTCATTTTGGCTGCATCCCTCTTTGGACTTTGTCAAGGACCTGAAAGAACATCCCTTCCAGGTGAGCAAGGCTTTGTGAAGAGGGGGGTGGAAGGAGATGCGCTCATCAGTGCTTGCTGCTCCCAGGCATGCCCTTCCCTGCCCATGCTGCTTTCCTCTTCTCCTCCTCATAACAAGTGGCTCTAATAAGCTCACTGAGGCTTTAAAACCAGTAGGAGCTCTTGAAGTATATTAATTTGATTTGCCCTATGACATAAACCCTTAGATTTCACCAGGTAACCCCTGCGTGAGATCAATTATGTGGCTTAGTCTGAAACCTCAGAAACATCCACTGTTCTCTCGAAGCTGAGACAGAAAATCCAGCCAGTTTCCCTGTGGCTCCATCCCCACGGCTAATCACCATCCCAAATGCATTAGCTTTTACATCTTACATGGATTTATCATAACTTGCCAGAATGTTAAATGTCAAAAGATCTATTTGGTGAGTACACAAATCCCTGCAGCTTATTGGAGGGGGCTCAAGAGAGCCTGAAAAGCGGGGAGAGCTTTGCCATCCTCTCCCTCTGCCGCAAAGGTTAACCTGAGAGGCAGGATGCTGCTCTGTCTCCCTTCTGGGAAGTGCATTGCAGGATGGCTTTGCTGCAGATGATATTTTTCGCAGAGAATTGCTCAGCTAAATATAACAAATAAAAGGAACACGATTGGCCTTAAAAGCTCTTGATTTTCCTCCCTTTGTTCCGAGCCTCAAGATAGCCCCAGCGATCTGTTGCCCAGGTATCAGGGTACTATTCAACAGTTGACTTTAGGCTGAAACTCTGGCAGGTAATTTTGTTCTCTTTTTCTATTTAAAACTCCAGTGCCTCAAGTGGGAGAAACTACAGAGAAAAGCTCCACATCTCGGGGACCTTGGCAGGTATCACGATTCACAACCTTCCCGATGCTTTGAACCGACTGAATCCTCCACTAACTCATCCTCGGGGAGTCTCTGTGGAGCTCCTGCCTCCTTGGCTGGCTGCTGGGGACCAGCTCTGCTGAAAAGGCAGATCTGCCACTGCTGTGTGAAGAACTGGGTGTTTTCCTGGCGCTGCCAGGGGCTGGCCTCTGGCAGCTGAGTTTGGAGGTGGCTGGAGGGCAGTGACGGTGACACTGAGCTCACAAGCCAAGTCTCTGCATGCCAGAGCCACAGAAGGCAGAGGCCCTAAGAGATATTTGGTATCAGTCTCATTTCCCCTTATTTGACAAGCAGTGACATGGGATTACACAGAGACTCCATCCCTGGTGTATGGACAGCATTGTCTCTGGGATGGCTGGGAGACCAATCTGATGGTCTATAAAGGGGAAACTGAGGCACCATTTTACATGAGGTTGAGGTGCTGCTGTTCATATCTTGTGTCCTTCATAGCACGTCCTTAGGACAGAATAAACCATTTTTTCCTGACAGAAGAGCAGCTATGGGAGGCTTTCCCAGCCTCTTCTCCCTTCTCTGAGCCAGCAGCCTGTCACAGTGTGACAGGGGAACCAAGACACTGCAAGCTGCACACCCAAGCAAAACAGGGCTGCTCAAAACCACTGACCACATCACTCTCCAAAGGTGCTCTTAAAAGCACTCACTGTCCATCACTTTGACTTATAACTCTTCTTGCTTTCCACGAGGGGGAACAATGACTCTGTCATTTGTCATCTGTTTTTGCTCTCAGCGACATGAGATCCAATACCTGAAGGGGGCTACAAGGATGCTGGAGAGGGACTCTTCATCAGGAACTGGAGTGGCAGGACAAGGGGTGATGGGTTCAAACAAACAGGGGAACTTCAGGTTGGAGATAAGGCAGAAGCTCTCCCCTGTGAGGGTGCTGAGGCGCTGGCACAGGGTGCCCAGAGAAGCTGTGGCTGCCCCATCCCTGGCAGTGTTCAAGGCCAGGTTGGACACAGGGGCTTGGAGCAAGCTGCTCCAGTAGAAGGGGTCCCTGCCTGTGGCAGGGGGTTGGAGCTGGATAACCTCAAAGTCCTTTCCAATCCAAGCCATTCCATGATTCTGATCCTATGACCTTTCAGATACGCTGATGTATCACCGAATTTTCTTCTCCTCTACTAGGACAGCTCCTCTCACCCAAGAAAGGACTGTGTCTGATGCTTATACCTGCCAACAGGAAAAAAAGGTGCTTTTCTGCTACCATTGGTTCTCCAGGATTCACTGCTCCCCTGCGGATGCTGTGACACAGCACAGCCAAACCAGTCAGCCCATGCAGGACATGGTTTACAGCCCCTGTGCCTGCCAAGGGATGTGCTGTGGGCAGTGGCAGCAGGCACAAGGAGGAGCCGTGGGCCTCAGCGATGGTGAGCAAGGCTTAGTGCAGCCTCTGAGTGTGCAGTGGAAGAGCCACCCTAATTACTGCTTTGCATAGCTGCTCGGGTTTGGACATCAAAAGCCTTATTTCCCATTAGTTTAATCTACTCCAGGATTAAACCAGTTTAGGATTAAAGCACTGCTGGACTGGAATAAGGGCTTCCACACTGAGAATTAAAAGAGTCATTCTGCACTCACCCACAGGGAAAATCAAGATAATGAATAGAAATTAACTGCTAAAGTGGATTAAATACAAGGCGTTAATCCCTGTGGGAAGGCAGCCTGCAGTCACAGCCCCATCCTGCTCTCTTTACTGCTCAGGTAGTTTAAACACAAGTAGACTAAGGGTATTCTGTCCACACAGTATTCGGTGCCATTTCATTAATGCACCCTAGGGCCTTCTTTAGCTGATTTGAGTTGATTTCTTGGAGTAAAAAGGCTCTAGTAAGAGTGGTTCTGCTGTACCAGCTCACTGAGTGAAGGCTGTGAGAGCAGTGAGTGCCAGCGGTGACGTTCTAGCGACCAACCACCAGACCTGAAAGCTGTGGTATGACCAGGTGACAGAAACCACTGAGCATACTCAGACTCTCATGACATACGGGTTTAAGAAACACTATGGGGGCAGTTTTGTCCCAGTTCAATGCACTGGATAACACCGATCTTCCTTGTCTGAGCTCCACAGCAGATGACACTCCAGATGTGGTCTTCCCAACCTGAGGGATGTGCAGCCGTGCTTGTGCCCACCTAAGTCCAACACAAACTGTTCCCACAGGAACGCAGAAGTGATAGCTCCCGTTCCAGCGCTGTTTGGAGAAAGACCTGGTCCCACTCGGAGGAATGGAGGGAAATACGCTGGGTTTTACCACTCACAGAGCGACTGACCACTGCTTTGAGGTGGGAAGTGCCAAGTACGGAACACCAACCCACTGCTGCTGTACCTGGAGGAGGGTAGCAAGCCAAAGAAGAAATCTTAGCCGCCCCTCTTCCTCCTGCTCAAGAGGCAACAGAAAGCCTAATCCTGGGAGAAGGAGACTCCTCCACTGCAGGAGGCAGCTGGGGTAAGTTGGGCAGTGAAGGGCAAGGCGTTAATCCCCGGGGTTCTCTCGGTAAAGCCCGCACTGCCAGCACTCACCTGGGCCACCGGAGGAGCGGGGCCGCAAGCGGGGATTGGTCCACGGAGAGCATCCTCAAGGGCCACCTCCGCAAGGCGCCCCTCACCTCCGGGCCGGAGCGGGTGCGGGTCCTCCCTCCGGGGCTCGGCGGGGGGAGCGGGACCGGCACCCCTGGAGCCGCCCCCCCACCTCCGCCTCCCCGTAAGCCGCTTGGTGACCCAGTTGGGAGCGCGGGGGCCGGGGGGGGGGGGGGAGGCGGGCGGCGGAGGCTCCTCCCCGCTCCGCCGAAAGTTTGGTGCGGGCCGGCGGGGCTGAGCGCGGCCGGAGCCGGCGGCGGCGGCGGGGGCTGAGCCGGGCGCCCGCGGTCGGGGGCGCTCCCATGCGCCGGGCTGCCGGGGCCGCGCCGGGGCCGCGCCATGGTCAACGGCAGCGCCGGGGCCGGGCCCTGCAACGGCACCGCGCTGCCCCCGGCCCCGCCACCGCCGGCCGCAGGGCACAACATCGCCGCCCTGGTGCTGGGCATCGTCCTCATCCTGCTCATCGTGGGCGGCAACGGGCTCGTCTGCCTCAGCGTCTGCACGGAGCGGGCGCTGAAGACCACCACCAACTACTTCATCGTCAGCCTCGCCGTCGCGGACCTGCTGCTCGCCTTGCTCGTCCTGCCCCTCTATGTCTACTCCGAGGTGAGCACCGGGCTGGAAGGGCACCGCTGGGACTGGGGATCCTCAGGGTTACAGGGCTGCGGGGCGGGATCGGCAGGAGGCCAGGTGTTGAGGGTTAAAGCCCGTCTCCCTTTTGCTCCCCACCTCCGTCCCTCCGGATCGGGGCTGCCGTCGCTGCTGCTCAGCCCCTCGGGACAGCCCCAGCCCTGCTCCGCTGCGGGGACATTGGTGGTGCTTTCAAACCGCCGCGGCTTTTTCCTCACGGCATCTCGGCTGTCGGCATTGCAAACCCACTGCAGGACAGCGAGCGGTGACAGCGGCAGCAAGTTCGGGGGCTTCCCCGTCGTCCTGTCGGACCGTTGCCGAGCTGCAAATGCCCCGAGTGGAGATGCCCTTAGAGGGGGGGGGTCTCCCCGGGCCGGGTCAGCAGCTCTGGGGAGCCCCTGTGTTGCCATCAGCAAGTGGTTAGCAAGGGTCTGGCATAAGGTGAGCAGGTTTTGGTGGTAATCGTAGAATAGGTTGGAAGGGGACCTCAAGGATCATCTGGTCCAACCTCTCATGGCAAAAGCACAGTCTAGACAAGGCGGACCATAAGGGACACCTTTAGCCAGGAGTCAGGTTCCCATGTGGGGTTCAGAGGAGGAAGAGGTCTTTTTAGGGAGCTAAGTGGGATCGGTCACTCTACATCAAGGTGCTTTTGGTTAGGTTGCTGCAGGGCTCCTCCTGGCAGGTTCTATGGTTTGCACACGTCTGACCCTGAATGTGCTGGAGCCTTTGGGGGACTTTGGGTCAGGTTTCCTGTTCACCTCCTAGACTGGACAGCTGAGGGAAAGAACAGGAGCTCCGGAGGCTGAGTGGGTTTGGATCTCTCTGTAACAGGGAGAGAAATGTTTACTGGCAGGGGACTGGGGATGCCTTTGATTGTGGGGGGCTTTGTTGGATGGGGGTGAGGAGCCTCACTAGAGCCTGACCATCTCCTTCCCTGCTCCAGTGGATAAAAACATCACAAGCCAAAATTTCAGGGGTTTGTACCTACGTAGAAGAAAGAGCAGTCCTCTTCTTTCCAGACGTGGGGAGAGTCAGGACACAACCTTGTGTGCAGAGAGCAGCCCCAGAAAGCTTCAGTCTGATGAGCCTTGCGTTTTCTGACAGCCACATGAGTTGCAAGGTGGTGGCTTAATGCTTCATTGGGGAGTGAAAAGGGTTGGCCCCATGAGTGAGACCAAATGGTGCTCCCATCCTTGGAGGCAAACGCAAGAGCACACCAGCAGTGTTTGGTAGCATCTCCCTTCTCTCCCATGCCAGGGCTGCTGCTCAGCACCTCACAGGGGTGGGGCTATACTTAAGCAAGGCTGAGGATTAGGGTTTAGGATGCTTTTAGCCTCTCTACCTGGTTCTAGGACTATGCAAGACACTGTGACCTCTCTGAAGACAGGTATTCCGGAGGGACAAGCTCATCTGGGGACCATACCAAGAACCAATGAAGAACAGGAGCATTAGATTCCCTTCTTTCCACCACACTGACAGGAACCCCCTCTGTGCTCTTTGGTTGTGGTGGTTTTGCTCTTCCTTCATAACCTCTCTGGTTTTGGTGGCTGGAAATTCTCTGCCTTCATCCTTCTTCACAGCTGCTTTTTGCTAACTTGGATCTCCTTTTTCTCCTTGCTCTTTCTCTTGTCCCTCCATGCTTGCAGCTCCTGTTTCTATGGGCAGCCATGCACACTACTGTGGTTTCCTCTTGCCTGCAGGCTTGAGCTTTGCTGAGATTTTAAATGCAGGTTTATATGCTCTGAGGTACCCTTGAAAATGCTTCCATTTGGGCATCAGCATTGTGGGTCTTTCCTTGGGTACCACAGGCATCCCACAGATAATGATGCTCAGGCAATGGGTGTCCAGCCCTGCCTTAGAACCTTAGAAATATGCTAAGGGGAAGTTGAGGCAGTGCCAGGGGATGGAATTCTTGTGGAGTTTAGTTTTTCTTTCCTTGGAGGCAAATCAAAACCAGAATCAGATGCTTGACAGGGGCTATAGTGGTTGCTGCTGTTTAAAACTAGCTGGAATTCTACTTGCATTCCGTATCACTGCATGGAGCCACTGACAATGCAGCGTGGCCAGTCCTGAACGTTCAGTTCAGGCTTTGTTCTCAGTGTGGGATTTTTCCTTGGTGGTTGTTTTTAACCTCAGTGCAGCTCCTGACAGAGTAAAAGTGACTTTGGGGACTATTGGAGAACTGGAGAACCAGCTGAGAGGGTTTTTTTTGTTGAGCAGGAACACAACAATGATCTCTGTCCACTTCTTTCATTCAGCAGGAGCTGCTTGTTCATCTTGTGCTTTCTTCCTGCAAGAAGGCTTCTTGTGTTAGGTCTTTGGAACCAGCCCTCCCAGCCAGGCCTTTAGAAGACAGCTGGAGAGATTTAGCCTTTGAGGTGAGATCTGACATCCCCACAGATCAACAGATCTCCCACAAGCTTCGGAGAGGATGGGATTCCTTCCTGTGAGATGCGAGTTACCCTTTGCTGCTGTTCACAGAAGCTGGAACACAGTGTGAGAGGCCTTGATCTTGGCTGTTATTTCTAGTTGCTAAGAAAAGGTGATTGTGATGTTTCAGCTGCAGTGGTTGTCACCTGTTCTCCTTTTGTACTTCCAAAAGAGCCAGCCGAACCTCTTGTCACAAATAAGCTCTTAGTCCATGGGGAGGATTCAGAGGGCTTGGCTGTAGGAAGCCGAGTTGCGTCAGTTCTCCCTGGATGCCCCTTGTTTGTGCCTGCAGGGTTGGAGGATTGCTGGAAGCAGGTGCTAGACAAGGGGGGAATTGGTCTGTGTGGTCACAGCTCGCTCTTTTCTGTACCATTTCACAGTCACTGCAGCCTCAGCGGGAACCAGAGCTTGGCAGAAGGGCAGGAAATGGGGCGAGCTAATGCAAACCTCCCCTGCTCCTGTCCTCTGCAGTGCAGCTCAGGGAGAAGCACCCCAGTGCGCGGTGGTGTTCTCTGATGATGAGCAGGTGTCTCTGCTCTGCTCTCGTGAGACCTCCCCTGGAGCATTGTGTGCAGTTCTGGGGTCCTCAACATAAAAAGGACATGGAACTGTTGGAACAAGGCCAGAGGAGGCCATGAGGATGCTCAGGGGCTGGAGCACCTCCTGTATGAAGACAGGCTGAGAAAGCTGGGGCTGTTCAGCCTGGAGAAGAGAAGGCTGCGGGGAGACCTCAGAGCAGCTTCCAGTGTCTGAAGGGGGCCTATAGGGATGCTGGGGAGGGACTCTTCATTAGGGACTGCAGTGACAGGACAAGGGGTAACGGGTTCAAACTGAAACAGGGGAAGTTTAGATTGGATCTAAGGAGGAAATTCTTTCCTGTGAGGGTGCTGAGGCACTGGAATGGGTTGCCCAGGGAGGTTGTGAATGCTCCATCCCTGGCGGTGTTCAAGACCAGGTTGGACAGAGCCTTGGGTGCCATGGTTTAGTGTGAGGTGTCCCTGCCCATGGCAGGGGGGGTTGGAACTGGATGGTCTTAAGGTCCTTTCCAACCCTAACTATTGTATGATTCTATGATTCTACTCCTGGCCAGTCCTGGTCCCACAACCAGTATAAAAAAGGACAGTCCTTGGCTCAGAACTTTGGAACTCAGCTGAGTGACCTGGGGCTCTGAGTCTCCCTCCAGGCATGCAGGAAAGCCTGTAGAGCAATCCTGCCCACAGAGCAGCCTCTCCTACGAGAGGAACATTTTTGCTGGTTTCTACCCTGGCCTAAATCTCTCTCTAGTGCTCCCTGTGCATCGCTGGCACTTCCTCAGCCTGTATTTCTTTCCTCATTAATTTGTCCTGCCAAATTTACCTACCCAGCTCAAGGTAAGGCTTTGGACCTTAAGGAGAAAGTGCTAAAACGGCTGTCCCAAAGCTGGCCTTCCATAAAGCCAAATGTTGCTGTCACTTGTCAGTTCTGACCCTTCACAACCTGAAAGCCCCCTATGGATGCGAAGGAAGAAGCATCAGCTTTCCACCGCCTCAAAGCATCAGTTTCCAAACGGATGTGAGCTCCTGGCAGGGCCGTGTTTGCAGCCAGCTTCCCTCTAGAAAGAACTACAGCGTTAAAGCAAACCAGATGAACTCGCTCTGTCTGGAGTGTTGGCCTGGGTGGAGGGGGATGAGCGCTCTTTGCCATGTCAGCCCCTGCTATCAGCACACGCACAGGAAGTCAAGCACCGACTGACGGTGCGGTGATGCAGATGTGTCCAGCATCCTCCACCCATCTTGTTCAACCACAGAACAGGGACGTGTTCTGGTGCTTGCCAGTTGTTGGTCGCCACACGCCAGGCTGCCCTGATGTGCAGAAGGTGCTCCTCTTCCAACTCGCTTGGGAATCTCAAGTCTCAGCAGTATGACAGCGAGAGGTAAAAACCCAGCGAGAAAGGAGACTGCTTTCCTACAGCAGCCTTGGCTTCCTGTGGGGCTCTCCTAGCCATCAATCCACTGTCTGTAAGGCAACGATGGGAAGGAAGGGGGAAAGAGGTGGCCTGGGGCACTCCCAGCTATGCCCAGTAATTCCCCAGGAGCAAAGCCCTGCCTTTGTGTGAAGAGATTCCAGGGGAAGATACCAGAGTGAGCATGACAATGGGGGTTACCGCTCCCCTGCGGCAGTGAGGACACACGGGAAGGCAGAGCCTCAGGTACTGTGGAGGTACTACAGGACCTCCTTGGGCGCTGAGTGGCTTTGCCACTAGAAATCTGCAGGGAGGGAGCTGCATGGCTCCAAAGGCTTGTCTGTGTCTAACTGCTTCCTCTGCCCAGCGACTCCTTGACAATGGCAGGGAGTCCTCCTTAACTGGGGGCATCCCCAGCAGATGTCAGGCTGAGCAGCTCCCACTCTTGTACTCGCTGTAGAGCACCCGTCCTGCCTGCCTCGCTCACACCCCGCTCCTCCGATCCGCTCTCCTTAATCCACGCCGGTTTCCTGGGCTAACGAAGACGGCGGATGCAGGAGCTGGTGCCAGGAGCTGCCTACGGCAGCGTTACCTAAACAGCTTCGCCGCTAAGATGTGTGCGAGCACGCAGGAGAGGAAATGCTTCCAGCAGCGCCTACCCAGCTCCTTCCACAGGTCGGGGCGGATGGGCCTTTCCAGCAGTCCCTCCACCTCACACATCCCAGGGCTGTAGAGCAGCCAGCGCTATTACACAGGCTGTGCTCGTGGTCAGGGTGATGCTGTTCTGCAGCAGACTTCCTGGGTGTCGCTTGTGCCACTGGTACCAAAAGGGACCTTTGAAGCGTCTCATAGGTGTGCCTGTGATGTTCTGTTGAGAGACCAGAGCTCTACCCTCCTCCAGATTTCCTGTGGCTCTGTGGGTGCATGTCATCCTTTCTGTGGCAGCGTTCAAGATTACTCAGTCCCAAATCTTACAGCTTCAGTGGGAAGAGATGTTCCTGTAGGCCTGAGTGGTGCCTGAGCCGCAGCCTCTGCACGCCATCCTGGGAGCTGGTACCCACCAGTGCTAAGGAGCCTGTTTTCAGTGACCAGTAATTGTGGGGAGGGGTCTTAGAATTCTGGGGCCTCGTGTTTCAGGTGCATGATCAGACTGACTTCTCACTCTCTAAACCCTTGACCTCAATGCTTTAAGCCAAAAAAGGATGCTAGAGCAGACGTGAGGCCCCCCTTGTCTCCTGTCCCACTCCCTCGCCTTCCTCTCCCCTTGCAGCTTCATTGTGTCCCCTGGAGAACGCAGAAGCCATCACGGCTCATGACAAAGGCCCAGCGTGAGCTCCTTGTGGGCATCTGGACAGTCCTTTGATGCTGAACTTTGCTCCCTTGCAAGGTGCATTACCCTTCTGATGGGTGTTGTAACCCTCTTAGCAGGCCTGGGCTCCTAAGGCTAGCACTTGTAGTCTCCCTGTGTGATGTGTTTGAGCCAGGTCCTCGCTGAGGGCAGGCAGGTGCCTCTCTGGAAACACAGCTGGGCAGCTCCTCATTCACCCTGAGGCTGCTGCTGCTGGTGTTATCCCTATTTATCATCACCACCAAAGACTAAAGGATGTCTTTGTGCCCCCTGCTTCTCTGTGAGCCTCTTTGCAGGGCTGGCAAGAGGGGCAGGTATGAAGCTGCCCTGGGGTGCCGCATGTGACAGGACCGAGACAAGAGCTGTTGTCACCAGTAGTAAGACTAAACCCTTTGGTCCTGTGCTGGCTCAGGCCCTCAGGAGCACTGGTGGTGTAAGAGCCCTGCAGGCAACAGGCTAGTTTGCAAGAAGGCAGATTTTTGTCCAGATATCAGCTGGGTTTAGGGATGGGGACATCAAAATGACCCGCCTGGGAAGGCAGCCTGCAAGGGTGTTTGAGAAGTCAAGTCCCATCTCCTGCCATCCACTGTCCTACAAAATACTTTCTATAACCTCTTTGTATTCAGTTATAGACTGGTTTGTGTTGGAAGAGACCTTAAAGCTCCTCCAGTTCCAACCCCCTGCCACGGGCAGGGACCCCTTCCACTGGAGCAGCTTGCTCCAAGCCCCTGTGTCCAACCTGGCCTTGAGCACTTCTCTGTAAGAAGCAGTTGGAGTTGTTCCTCCTCTGCACATCGTGGTTGAACCAGAACCTAGGTGCCGTTTGTAAAGAGACCACAGTGGCTGCGTGTGAGCTTACTGACATTGCCAGCCCTGGTTGGATGAAGAAGCAGCCCGGCTGCACCTGGAATATCTCTGGGAAAGAGGCTTGTGTCTGCAGCAGTGACCGTTATCACCTTCCTATAAACCCTTCTTGTCTGCTATGGAACACTGAGCTATGGGCAGACCATGGCCCATAAGGTTTTCCATCCTCTTCCAAGAAGTCCTGCCTGGAGGTTTGTGGCCAATACCCTCACCCATGTGAGCTCAGCCAGAGCTGTGTACCACCAGCCTTAGAAGCAATGCAGCAGGTAGGCTGGCAGGGGGGTTATATTGGAGCTCTTGGGAGCTCTGTTCTGTTTTGATAGGGGAGGTCCTTTGCCTCCCGGTCATGTCTTGCTGTGCAGCTCCCTGTGGCCTCTGGTTCTCCATCCCTGGCAGCATTCAAGACCGGGTTGGACAGAGCCTTGGGTGCCATGGTTTAGTGTGAGGTGTCCCTGCCCATGGCAGGGGGTTGGAACTGGATGATCTTAAGGTCCTTTCCAACCTTAACTGTTCTATGATTCTAACAGCAGCACCACTGATGAGCATCACTGCGGGGAAACAAGGGGCCTTGTGCTGAAAAAGCAGGGAACCTGAAAGTGCCACTGGAAGTGGAATCCCTCTGGAGCACATCTTAGAGGCGGCTTGAGCCGTTTATGGTCCCTAAAGCCCTGCACTGTGTACCTCGATGGGCTAATCTTCTCCTGTGATTAGGAACCTCTCGATCACATGGCCCTGCAAAGCCAGCTATGCCTCTAATCCAAAGGCCCTCACCCCTCCGAGAGGTTCTTGGCACATTTTGCAGTCAAGAAACACGGTGCTACAGGAAGCCCTCGCCCAGCGTGGTCCCCCCCAGGCAGTGCTGGGGGTCGGTGGGGAAAGGGAAGGGTTTGAAGCATTTCCTAAGAGCCCAATGTGAATCTCTCAGCAAAGGCTGTGTCCTCCGGAGGTGCTGCAGCCCCACAGCTCTTGTCCTTTTCAGAACCAGTTAGCTCCCCAAGGTTTTGGAAGCCCAGAATCAGATTTGACCTTGGCAGGATCCCAGTTGAGCTCGGTGGCACCTTGGGGCTTGGTTTGTCTGATTCAGCTCCCAGATTCACTTTGGGGTGGCTGATCCATGCTGCAGGAAGCGTTCGGGTCTGAAGCCAGCCCTTCCCGGGAGGTTCAGGCTGGCTCTCAAGGAGATGGCTGTATAAAAATAGCCAGTTTCTTCAGCATCTCCTTCGGCTTTGCAGCTCCACTAATCATAATCCTGTGCGTGACATCATTACTGCCTGGCATTAATCCTGCCAGAGCGGCTCTGGCAGGGCCAGGGGCTCTGCTCCTGCCCAGCCTTACGTGGCTGGGTCCCTTGTGCCAGGATGGATGAAACCAGAGCCTGCTCTTTCGCATCTCCACGTGAACAAATCCACGCTCTCACTGGCTGCATGGCACCAGTGAAGTCAGACTCTGCGGGCCCTGGGTGGCTGTTACTATAGCTTTGCTTTGGGGAGAGCCTGGGGAGTAGCAGTGTAGTAGGGGTGGAAGTGCCTGGCTCCCTCTGGGGTCCCCTGGCTGTGTGCCTGGGGCAGTGGGGCTGCTCAGGGCATGTGCTCTCAGTTCACGTACCGCTCTCGGCCGTGTAACCTGTGTGTAAGTGCTGGGAGGTGCCACCTGCGTTCCTGGGCGCCTTTCTTTCATCTTCCTGAGCCTAAACTAAAGCCCTTTCCCCTACTTCACCTGTTTTAGAACCAGGTACGGTGATGCAGTAATTGTTTCTCTTCTTGACTTCATCCCATCGCTCCTCGCTTGGCACTGGAACGTGGTAGAACTCTCCCCACCCTTGGCACCTCCTCTGCTGTCCCCATGCAAGGTGTTGGGCTTATTCCTCACCCCCTTAAGATGCTGGATTGGGCTTTTGTAGCTTTCCCCCTCATTTCCTAGCAAGAGCCGCCCCAGGATGCTCAAGGCTGGTCCCAAAGGGTGTGTTATGGAGTAACCCAGGGATGTGGTGGCATGGCAGCTCTGTCTCCAGGGGATGTGCGCAGCTTCAGGTGTGCTTCCTGAAGGGCCATGTGCCCCAGAGCAGCTCCACGCACACAGATGAAGTACGGATGTTCTAAAGAGGGATACATAGCATATAATGATATGTTATATATGGTTTATGTACTTTACTATGTATTACCATAATATAGGATGTATGAATCCATAGGCATCATAGGATCATGGAATGGGTTGTGTTAGAAGGGACCTTAAAGCTCCCCCAGCTCCAACCCCAACCCCTTCCACTGGAGCAGCTTGCTCCAAGCCCCTGTGTCCAACCTGCCCTTGAGCACTGCCAGGGATGGGGCAGCCACAGCTTCTCTGGGCACCCAGTGCCAGCGCCTCACCGTATGTTCTACATTAGATTGTTATATGTTCCACAATGCAATGATCCCTGTATGTATAGATGTTCTATATTTATATATTAATGCACTGCATAATAAATAATTGGTTGGACAGAGCCTTGGGTGCCATGGTTTAGTGTGAGGTGTCCCTGCCCATGGCAGGGGGTTGGAACTGGATGATCTTAAGGTCCTTTCCAGCCCTAACTGTTCTATGGCTCTATAATAATATTAATTAATTGATAAATTATAGGGATTAAAATGTAGGTATAAAAAATAGAAGTCCCTGGGATACATATCTATTTATATATATGTATATTTTTATATAACACATTGCATATACATAAAAATATATAATAAGTTATATACATTGCAAGTAGCAATATATTTGTTATAATATTTATTACAATAATATATATTTATAAGGGTAAGAGTATATGTGCAGTATGTATAGTGTTTGGTGCTTTGCCAAGTTCCAGGGGCATTTTGTATTTCTTGTATGCAATCTAATTTCTAATTATAAATACAATAACTTTGGGTCTTATTTATAAATACATATATTTATGCATTATATATAGGTATGTTATATATATTATATATATATGTGTGTGTGTTTGCGCAGGCCAAGGGGCACGGCTTGAACCTGCCCGAGGGGAGGCTGAGCTGAGCTCTTAGGCAGAAGCTCTTCCCTGGGAGGGTGCTGAAGCGCTGGCACAGGGTGCCCAGAGAAGCTGTGGCTGCCCCATCCCTGGCAGTGCTCAAGGCCAGGATCTTTCAGGTCCCTTCCAAGCCAGAGCCCTCCGTGAGCCTGTGGTTCTAGGGACCTGCCCAAGGAACGCTTCAGGCTGCAGGCACCAAACCCGTGTGGGGTGGATGAGAGCTTTGCCCCAGTGCGGCAGGGGACCGGGGGAGCCTTCCCTCCTCCGAGCTGCTGAGCTGGGCTGGAGGGGGCTGAGCTTGAGCTGAGCGGGGGTTTGAGCCCCTCTTCATGGCAGGGGAAGACAGAAGCAGCTTCTCTTGTGCTAGCGGTACGGTTCTGATCAAAATGCTGCTGCTGGGCTCGTCCTGGGGGCAGTTCCCCGGCACACGGAAAGGAAGGCGACAGCGCTTTTCTCCTGAGCTCATCCTCGCCTTCCCGTTGCCAAGAGCCGTTCCTTTCGGAGCACATTCCTGTTCCACGGGCTGGCATCGACAGAGCACGAACCCTGGCGCCGCTGGGTTCCTCCGGAGGATTATTTGGGGTACAGAAGCGTCCATCCTTAACTCGATGCCTTTTACACAGCAAAGCCCGCACTTGGGAGCGCCGCAGACCAACAGCACCGGCTCCTGGCCTCTCGCTGGCAGCCCTTCTGCTTTACCCTGGTGCCTGTGGCTGGAGAGCAGAGCAAGAGACAGCGTCCGACCGCCTTGAGCAGCCTGGCCTCGGGCTTAGTGGGACAGACCCACCCGGTTGTGTGGCACGCTGCTCCCATCGGCTGCAAACAGGGTGTTGGAGCAGCTGGGACATGGAGTCTCTCCCTGCTTCCTCAGTGACCTGTGGCTAGGGAGTGCTGAGCCCTGCGTTACTGGGGGGGGGGGGGGGAATTTTGGGGTGGAATTTGAGGAGTTTGGGGTTTTGAGCCCGCTGGCTCCCATTAATGGGCCTCTGCACCCTTAGTGTGCGGTGTGAGGCTGTTCAGGGTCCCGCTCACTCGGCAGTGCTGCTGTGCAGCTCCATTCTGCAGCCAGGCCGGGACCACGACGTCCCAGTGAAGCTGTGAGCCCTTGTGTGGGGTTAATCCCGTGCGCTGCTGCTTTGCTGGGCAGGGATGAGCATGCCGGGGCTGGACGGCTCCGGGGCAGGCTGCTCACCTGGAGGGGAGCGTGAGGCATGGAGCTGTTTGATGGCATTTTCACACAGTGGGACAGGGCATCTGCTGATCCCGGGGATCTTTTCAGTTCCAGGGAGGTGTGTGGTCCCTCAGCACGGCGCTGTGCGATGCTCTCATGACCATGGACGTGATGCTGTGCACGGCCTCCATCTTCAACCTCTGTGCTATCAGCGTGGATCGGTAAGTGCCTTCCTCCTCCTCCTCCTCACGCCAGGGGAGGGAGTGCTGTGTCCTGGCACCAAGCTGCTTCCCCACAGACGCCACGCTCTGCCCTTCCATCCTCCCCCATCACCGCCTTTGTGTCCGTCAGTACCCTTGCACAATGGCATGATAAGGGCAGAGCTGCCCCTTTGGGTGCTCTTCGGAGCGGGTGACTGGCTGTAGCCCAGGCCTCGGCGCTGGAGGTGAATTAAGCAGTGGGAGGGGCAGTGGCAAGAGGTTTGGGACTCCCGTTACCAGTGCTGGCCCCACCATAGTGGGACTGACCCAGGCGGGGCCTGTGTTGGCAGGTTTATCGCCGTTTCAGTCCCCCTGAACTACAACCGGCGACAGATCGACCTGCGGCAGTTGATCCTCATATCCACCACCTGGATCTTCGCCTTTGCCGTCGCGTCCCCCGTCATCTTTGGCCTCAACAACGTCCCAAACCGGGACCCCAGCTCGTGTCAGCTGGAGGATGACAACTACATCGTGTACTCCTCCATCTGCTCCTTCTTCATCCCCTGCCCCGTCATGTTGGTGCTCTACTGCGCCATGTTCCAAGGACTCAAGCGCTGGGAAGAAGCCCGGAAGGCCAAGCTCAGGGGCGGCATCTACGGCGCCAACAGGAAGCTCTATCAGCCCGGCCCCTTCATTGCGAGCGAGCAGACCAGGCTGGAGCCAGAGCAGTGCAACCCCTACGCCCTCTCCAGCCATCCCGGGGACTGTGGGATGAGCAACGGGATCCACACGGTCTCCTACCCCCACCTCAAGTACCCGCAGCCGGGACACAGTCGGAAGCAGGCCAAGATCAACGGCCGGGAGCGGAAGGCCATGCGGGTGCTGCCTGTCGTTGTTGGTGAGGAGCGGTTGGGGATGGCTGGGCAGGCACATCCTGTAGGACTTGTCTGAACCTGGTGAAGCCAACACCCTTCTTGGCCTCCCCTAGCAGGAGCCATATGGCCCCAGGATGCTGAGGACTGGGCTTTGTCCTCGCTGGACGGGGTGCTGGTGGGACAAGGGCCACCTTGTTCACCTCCCCAGTGCTCAGGTCCTCCTCCCTCTTCCTCACATACACTTGTTTTAACGCCCACCCTCCCCGTGTCCCTGTGCCCATTGCTCAGCATCAGGGAATGATGATCCAGGGGAAAATCTCAGCATCCCTTTGAGCAGGGCAGTGCCACCAAACACGTCCCCTGGGACAGAGCAGGAGCACCTACAGCGTTCGTAACCTAACCTCTCTTGGCAGCCTAAAAGCAAATCCAAACTCCTCCGTAACAGACTTTGCACCAAGGTTTAGGACAAGCAAGGCATCCTTGGCTGGGTGTAAGCGCAGCCCTCTGCACCAGCCCATCTGCTGCTTGTGCCTCGGGGCCCTCTGAGCTCTCCCCCTTCTTGTTTAGCCCAGGCTTGTGTTCAACCAACCGCTTTTTTTGTCAAGTTCATCCCTTTTTCGTTAAACCAACCCCTTTCTACCATTTCACTGCCCCTCCGCAGGTGCTTTCCTCTTCTGCTGGACTCCGTTCTTCGTGGTCCACATCACCAAGGCTCTCTGCAAGTCCTGTGCTGTGCCCACCCAAGTCACCAGCACCGTCACCTGGCTGGGCTACGTCAACAGCGCCCTCAACCCCATCATCTACACCGTGTTCAACGCCGAGTTCAGGAACTTCTTCCGCAAGGTCTTGCACCTCTTCTGCTGAGCCCCAGGGGAGGGGGGGTTTGTATGGTTCATTAAAGTTCTATTTCTGCCTAAGGGCTGCTGTCTTTGCTGGGGGAGGAGGGAGAGGGGAAGGCTGCAGGTCCCCAGCTGCTCCCAGCAAGGCGTTACAGGTGAGTACTCCTGGATGCAGCTCTGGTGCTTGGTTAACACCTGGTGCTTGGTGTGAGCAGCAGAGGGGCGGCAGGGCTGGGCCTGGCTTTGAGTTGAGCTGCTTGGGCTGGGCTCGCCTTCTCTGAGCCGGCACCAAAGGAACTGACTCAGCCCTGCCCCACCGCGGTGCCTGGAGCGGGGAGAGCTTTGGTGCTGGTGGCTGCTCTGGCCTGGAGAGTCACTGACGGGTCCCTGCACAGGACAACAAACCAGGCTCCATCCCCTGGGACACAGGGAGAGACAAACCAGCCTCCATCCCCTGTAAACAGAGACAAACCAGCCTCCATCCCCTGTAAACAGAGACAAACCAGCCTCCATCCCCTGTAAACAGAGAGACAAACCAGCCTCCATCCCCTGTAAACAGAGACAAACCAGCCTCCATCCCCTGTAAACAGAGAGACAAACCAGCCTCCATCCCCTGTAAACAGAGACAAACCAGCCTCCATCCCTGGGACACAGGGAGAGACAAACCAGCCTCCATCTCCTGGGACACAGGGAGTGACAAACCAGCCTCCATCCCCTGGGACACAGGGAGAGACAAACCAGCCTCCATCCCCTGTAAACAGAGACAAACCAGCCTCCATCCCCTGTAAACAGAGACAAACCAGCCTCCATCCCCTGTAAACAGAGACAAACCAGCCTCCATCCCCTGTAAACAGAGAGACAAACCAGCTTCCACCCCTGGGACACAGGGAGCCACAAACCAGCCTCCATCTCCTGGGACACAAAGTGACAAACCAGCCTCCATCCCCTGGGACACAGGGAGCCACAAACCAGCCTCCATCCCTGGGACACAGGGAGCCACAAACCAGCCTCCATCCCTGGGACACAGGGAGAGACAAACCAGCCTCCATCCCTGGGACACAGAGTGACAAACCAGCCTCCATCCCCTGGGACACGGAGTGACAAACCAGCCTCCATCCCCTGGGACACGGAGTGACAAACCAGCCTCCATCCCTGGGACACAGGGAGAGACAAACCAGCCTCCATCCCTGGGACACAGCCTCCATCCTTGGGACACAGGGAGCCACAAACCAGCTTCCATGCCCTGGGACACAGCCTCCATCCCCTGGGACACAGGGAGAGACAAACCAGCCTCCAACCCCTGGGACACAGCCTCCATCCCTGGGACACAGGGAGTGACAAACCAGCCTCCATCCCCTGGGACACAGCCTCCATCCCCTGGGACACAGCCTCCATCCCCTGGGACAAAGGGAGCATCATGTAATGACACCTGTGAGACCCACACAGGAAGGAACAGACTCATCAGAAGCTGCTGCCGTAAGACTGGTGGTTTCCATCTCATCTTTCTGTTATTGGACTCCGGATAGGATTTGTGATGCTGGACCGGGCCACTCTGATTCAGGGGGCCCCCTCCTGGACTGTGAGCTGAACACTGTCCTCACCCACCAGTACCAAACGGGAGTGAATAACCCACAGGAGAAGTGACTCCTGACAGCCATGAGGCTAAACCCCACTGCCCCAGCAGCGTGTGGGGCTCCTCCAGCCAGGGCACAATCCTCAACCACGAGTGACGGTGCCCGGTTTGCCTGAACTACTAAAGCAGCACATTAATAATGAATGGACTTTATTGCAGGTAACAAAGGAAATCACTTCCCAGTGCTCACCACAGCTGGAATCAGCCCGGACAGGACCAGGGTTAATGCCCAGAGGGTTCGCTCTGGTGAGGATGTGTCTCCAGCTGAGCATCACTGCTGCCACTCTGCCTTCAACAGTGACGCAGAACCACCGGCACGTGGCTGCTTTCACCTCCCTTTATTTCACCACGCGTTCTTTTGCACTTGAGCCCAAGGGCAGAAACCCCAACATGTTCCATGTTTGGCCAGCCCAGAGGGAGCACAGGAAAACACCCAACCCGAAGTCAGTCCTGCTGCACGCTGAGAACGCGTACCGAGCTTCGCAAGGCAGTTGAATAACCCAAAGGCAGGCTCTTTTGGCTCTTCAGACCAGAGGTAGGAGGCACAGGGAGAAGGGGGCAGCAGCAGGTCCCACGGCAGCGCCTGCCGCAGGCTCAGCTCAGCACGGGTGGGTGATGAGGAGGTGGCTGCTGGCCCTGCGGTGGAGGTGCCCCTGGGGGAAGCCGAAGCTCCCAGCACTGGAGGAGTTCACAGGTTCTGTTTCACTCGAAGTCCTGAAGGAGGCTCAGGAGGAGGCAAACGAGATCCAAAAGTCTTTAAAAAGCCAGCTCTGCCCGTGGGCAGGGTGCAGGTGGTGGAGGACCCAGCCAGTGGGTGCAGATGACACCAGCCAGTGGGTGCAGATGACACCAGTCAGGGGGTGCAGATGACACCAGTCAGGGGGTGCAGATGACACCAGTCAGGGGGTGCAGATGACACCAGTCAGTGGGTGCAGATGACACCAGTCAGTGGGTGCAGATGACACCAGTCAGGGGGTGCAGATGGCACCAGTCAGTGGGTGCAGATGACACCAGTCAGTGGGTGCGGAGGACCCAGTCAGGGGGTGCAGATGACACCAGTCAGTGGGTGCGGAGGACCCAGTCAGGGGGTGCAGATGACACCAGTCAGTGGGTGCAGATGACACCAGTCAGTGGGTGCAGATGACACCAGTCAGGGGGTGCAGAGGACCCAGTCAGTGGATGCAGATGACACCAGTCAGTGGGTGCAGATGACACCAGTCAGTGGGTGCGGAGGACCCAGTCAGTGGGTGCAGATGACACCAGTCAGTGGGTGCAGATGACACCAGTCAGTGGGTGCGGAGGACCCCGTCAGTGGGTGCAGATGACACCAGTCAGTGGGTGCAGATGGCACCAGTCAGTGGGTGCAGATGGCACCAGTCAGTGGGTGCAGATGACACCAGTCAGGGGGTGCAGATGACACCAGTCAGGGGGTGCAGATGACACCAGTCAGTGGGTGCGGAGGACCCAGTCAGGGGGTGCAGATGACACCAGTCAGGGGGTGCAGATGACACCAGTCAGGGGGTGCGGAGGACCCAGTCAGTGGGTGCAGACGACACCAGTCAGTGGGTGCAGACGGCACCAGTCAGTGGGTGCAGACGGCACCAGTCAGTGGGTGCAGATGACACCAGTCAGTGGGTGCAGATGACACCAGTCAGGGGGTGCAGATGACACCAGTCAGGGGGTGCGGAGGACCCCGTCAGTGGGTGCAGATGACACCAGTCAGTGGGTGCAAATGACACCAGTCAGTGGGTGCGGAGGACCCAGTCAGTGGGTGCGGAGGACCCAGTCAGTGGGTGGCCGATCCAGTGGCCATGCCGAGGTAGCTCTGCTCACACACTGACTTTCTCCATCACGCTGTCTGTGACGTGCACGTCCTCAGCCTGCACTGCAGCTGCCTGCCCGCAGATGTGCTGGTGGTCCTTCCAGTCCTGCACGGGGAGAGATGGGAAAGGGCTGAGCAGAATGGACCCCTGGGAAGGAGGAAGCTGTGCTGGGACCCCCCTGGGATCCATTGGAGCAGCTCTTTCTCCAGCACTGCAAGGCTCCAGTGCTCAGCCCGACAGGACCAACAACGGGCAGGAAAGGGGCCGCGTGCTGGGTCAGTATTATAGAATCATAGAACAGTCAGGGTTGGAAAGGAGCTTAAGATCATCCAGTTCCAACCCCCTGCCATGGGCAGGGACACCTCACACTAAACCATGGCACCCAAGGCTCTGTCCAACCTGGCCTTGAACACTGCCAGGGATGGAGCATTCACAATCTCCCTGGGCAACCCATTCCAGTGCCTCAGCACCCTCACAGGAAAGAATTTCCTCCTTAGATCCAATCTAAACTTCCCCTGTTTCAGTTTGAACCCGTTACCCCTTGTCCTGTCACTGCAGTCCCTAATGAAGAGTCCCTCCCCAGCATCCCTATAGGCCCCCTTCAGACACTGGAAGCTGCTCTGAGGTCTCCCCGCAGCCTTCTCTTCTCCAGGCTGAACAGCCCCAACTTCCTCAGCCTGTCTTCATACAGGAGGTGCTCCAGCCCCTGAGCATCCTCGTGGCCTCCTCTGGACTTGTTCCAACAGTTCCATGTCCTTTTTATGTTGAGGACCCCAGAACTGCACACAATGCTCCAGGTGAGGTCTCAGGAGAGCAGAGCAGAGGGGCAGGATCACCTCCTTGGACCTGCTGGTCACGCTGCTTTGGATGCAGCCCAGGACACGGTTGGTTTCTGGGCTGTGAGCGCACGCTGAAGCCGGCTCATGTTCATTTTCTCATCAACCAACACCCCCAAGTCCTTCTCCTTGGGCTGCTCTGAATCTCATCTCTGCCCAACCTGTAGCTGGGCCTGGGATTGCTCCGACCCAGGTGTAGGACCTTGCACTTGGCATGGTTAAACCTCATGAGGTTGGCATCAGCCCAGCTCATAAGCGTGTCGAGGTCCCTCTGGATGGCATTCCTTCCCTCCAGGGTATCAACCGAACCACACAGCTTGGGGTCATTGGCAAACTTGCTGAGGGCGCACTCAACCCCACTGTCCATGCCAGCGATGAAGATGTGCAACAAGACCGGTCCCAACCCCGATCCCTGAGGGACCCCACTCGCACTGGAGGTGGAACGTTGGCTTCTCAACCCGAACACTCATCTAGGGCATCCCCATCAGCTCACAGAGAACTCACTAGAACAGAGCCAGAACCGGACTTAAACCCTCAAGGACAGCTCTGGAGCAGCCGGTGCCCTGTGGGACCGCACCACACGTTGGCCTTAGCTCAGCCCCAGCAATGGAGAGGAATGGAACAACTTCCAGAACCGCCTTCAGCTTTTAGGCTGAACCAGGAAAACCCCCTCTGCTTGCTGAGCCCACACCAGGGCTCACAAACCTGGGGGGGGGGGGAGCCTCTTGGGACCGGTCACTGAGGAGCACCTCGAACCCTCCCACCCTCCTGCAGCACCCAGCACCAGCAGCGGCTTG